TTTGTTGCAATGGTAAGTAAAAATCACCCTCCATAAATTTGAACACCAAAAAATGAATTAAAAAGTATAAACAAGACCATTGCAAATTTCTTAATTCCACTGAAACCTATAAAAATTCAAAATGTCAAATAACCTCACTCTATACACAAATTCCCGCCCATGAATTCAAATCAATTCCGAGCTGCACCTTCCCACCCTGAGCTGAACCGTCATTCTCACAAAAATGAAACGGCTCCCAGGAGGCCGGAAAACACATCTCCAGGCAGATCAGCGTCTGAAAATTCAATCTCGTTAGTTTCAGCAGTAAGTATCCGACTCATATCTTTTTAAAGAAACGAATAATAATAGTACTCAACTGCCGCCATGGTTGCTTTATTAAATCCGATTTATCTGCTAACAAGTTTGTCGGCAAGCGAGATAGTAAAGTGTCACCCGTATCAGACGGTGGTTTATTGTGTAAATCCGAAACACAAACATCTCTGATCAAAATGGGATGCGCTCACCTTTATCCAAATCTGTAAAAATTGATCCCTGGCACATTCCCACTTGTTTGGATTGAAGATAACCTCCACCGATCACCGATTGTATTACTAAATGCTACAATAAATAAAATTATCTAGATAACCACAAAACTTCTGGTTTATAACCCATTTTAATTTCTCAACCCCTCCGCCACTCCTCACCCATTTCGCCAATTAATTGGATTCGATTCAAATCTGGACTACAGTCAGATATTAAAGCTGTGTTTAATTGCAGTATAAATTAGAGTGTAAATTCTGATTTTCTTTAGCTCTAGATTTAATTTTGTTTTATTTATTTTTGAGAAGTAAAATAAATTGATTTCACTTTAAATGAAAGAGAATGGCCATGACAGAATTATTTAAGACTTCATTTATGTTTTAGTAAATGATTTATATTAGGGTAAATACATTTATTTGGGCGAATGTTTTTTAAAAAATATTTATCCAAATAAGAGAACTTTAATGACTAATTTATCCAAAGAAATGACATTATTAAAAGAATAATATTGTCACATGACATATTAATGATTTTCAAAGTACATAAATAAATAATTTATCCAAATTAGAGGAGTATTACTTTCCTTGATAGGCAAGGGAAGGTAAGGTAATATTCATTGAGTCAATAGATAAATTTATGAATTCCAGGCCCATGGTAGGTAAGGTTATTCATTGGGCTTTTAGACCCATTATGTATACCCTTCTGGTTCTGATGAACTTACGGTTTTTATCAGTTTATACTTCTCGTGAGAATGACTTGGGTCTACTCTTCATTGCCCTCTTTATTGTGCAGAACCCAAAGCTTTGAATAAACATTCGGCCCATAAGTGTATGCCAAGTTTGTGCCTGTATTTTTGTCCAGATTAATTATCAGGCTGGCTTTTGGCTTCACGGATCAAGACCCGACCCATTTTTTTCTAGATTGCCTGATCCAAGTCCTCGGTAACACATGTATTTCGATATTTATCTGCTTTAATTTACAATGGTAAGCTAGATTAATCTAGCTTATCGTCCAATTTGTACTGAAATTTTTAGGCAACAAGGAAACACATGGGTAATGATGTCACTTTGTCAGACTCACATCAGACTAGACAACCCAACTCATTTGGACCATGACCTGAGAAATACCTAGTTTTTTTAAAATCTTTCTCTAAAGAACTTAACCTGAATCATCATCATTCAAGCCTTATCCCAATTATATATATGGGATCAAAAACACGAATCTTGTTTTATCACTCTGTTGTATTTAATGCTATATCCATTATTTAATTATTATGGGTTCTTAAATCATTTCTCACTATTTTAACTAATGTCCTTTTAATCTTTTCCTAACCTTTTTGACCTTTTTAACTATGGGTGCTTCTGCGATCTTCTATACTCATACGACCAAACTATCTTAGCTTATTCTTTCATTTTATTATCTATTGGAAGCTATTCTCTAAATTATTTCAAGTGACTTAATGCAACCTGAATGGTTCTCTAAAACTTTGATTTGTGAACCATACGAGGAAGGTATAGGAGGACCAGGATTGGACCGGGAAATTGGTCTAAGATTTGCATTAGTCTGAAATTTTCCATACCGGGAAAAATGGGAATTTAAAGGGAAAGAGAAAGTACCTAGAAGGTTCAGCAATTAGTGATTTGGTTAAAGTATTTTAGCTGCAATTGTGACAACTCATGTTGGTTTCTCTATACAAAATAGGTCCTACAGTGCTAATTCGGATCTGATGGTTACAATGTTCTATGACCCTTATCATATACTACACTATTGATCCATCTGTCCCCCAACTTCATACGAGTGGTTACTGCAAGTGAACACTAATAATGAAGGACAACAAAGCATCTGTTCGCCACCCACACTCAATTCAAAGTTATGGGAACAATCAGATGAGACTGCAAATGGATCGGATAAAATTGGATTATCTAGATCCAAATTTGAGTCGTTAATATTGAACCGATCGAGGTTGTAAGTTGTAATGTTTCCCGTGGTTTGAGGGAGATGAGCTTCCTTAGACCTCTTATAATTGCCCAGAGTACTTCACATTGTGATGCTGATATTGCATAGCAAGGCTGTACGTCCTTCCTTATGCAATGCAAAGTGTTATATACATGAGAATATAAGAGAAGTCCAGTTGAAGCATAGTGTGTGTGCTGGTCTGAAATAACCAAATTAAATGAAGTCGATCTAGTGTAGGAATATATGCAGCTGTTTGCTTCTGATGGGCATACATAGGTTAGGGAGCTTGAGTATAGAAAAGTAGATCTGCTCTTTCATCCCAAATAGCTCTAAACATAGCAGCAATCCTTGCAAGGTAAATATTCTTCATTAATTCTTGAAATCTTTTGAGGCTTCATGATTTGAGGACCACCGATTCAAAAGTGTCGAGAGTGTTGATCTGTAACAAGAGGTTAGGCTTGTGATATGTATATATGCAATGGGGGCTGTATTCTTAAAAGGAATAGTTCTCGTACAAGTCTCTCGTTAACTAATGGAGAGAAGAGGAGGCGCATATTTTGAGTGAAAACAGATTCTTTCCATTTTTGAGATGTGTATAATATAGGGGGCATTCTTTTTTTGGATTTTGAGAGAGGAAAATTGGATAATGGGATTTTGGTTCTTATTGACCAATACATTTCTTTTTTTCGCTTTATGTGGGGGAGTAGGGAAAGTTTATCTTCCTGGGTATCACTTACCCAGGAAAGTGATACTCATATCCTATGTGGTCAGGTGGGTAATAATTTTTCTACATTGAAAAAAATTATCAACACTTGAATGGAACAAAAATGCCTCTTTTAATAATGGATTTATATGGGTAAAATGGTCATTTCCTTTTAATCTAACATGAACAAAGATAAATACAGTTACCCGAATAAATAACTTACCAAATAGCAAATGGGCCATAATGTCGCATTTGCAATGCAACGCCAAACCCCACCCCCATCGCTCACCGGACAAAAACCGAGAAATCTTAATTTTCTGGGGACCCAGTGGGATGTGGAAATTATGTAATTTTAGCAGCACCTCAACCAATCATAGACGCGTTTAAAGGCCTGAATTAGAAACGGGTATTGTAGAAAGATAATATTAAGAAAATAAACGACACATGCCTATAGAGCTCCTGAGATGTAAGATCTGTTCCAAAGAGTATTCATAAAACGAGAAAGTAGATATTTGGCCTCTTGAGTGGGATATGATCTTTCACTTCACATCTGCATTTGATGGTGAATGAAAGCTTCAAATTTTAAATGGAAATGGCCACATCCCAGATTTATCAAAATATAGCTTGTCCATCACAAGCCTGATCAGACACATGGATCAGTCAAAATTCAAAATCGAGCGCATACTTTGAAAAGTTAAAGAACATTAAGGGCGTTTTTGTCCTTTAATTTTTCATCATTCTCAAACAATTAAATACTTTACAGGGTATATTTAAGTAGTTTTGGTTTGGAAAATAGTTATTAAAAGCACATAGAATATTTAAATAAATGAAACTGTATTTATATTAGTAGTCTCTCTCTCCTCCCAAAATAAAATATGCTTTTCTTTTATTTGTCTGTTTTCTTTCCGGCTTTGGCAATTGTGTGTGTGTTTTATTTTTTTTTATGTGACTATGAGGCCTTAACACCCTCTATCAGCGTAGTCATGGATTAATATTTTGACAACTGTCAAAATATTTTCAAGAGTGGAATAAAAGTATTTTAAAGAATAGATGTCAAAAAAATTTCAAGTGCCCATAGAGGGAGAGAGAGATTGAGCTATTGACCCTTTAGAAGTTTCAGTCGTCACGTCCTCACATGCGTGGAAAGTTTCCAAAACAAAGCATTGAGCCTTGCATACAATATTAAAGAGGTGATGAGTTAGGAAGCAGTACCCAACCTTCCCTCCGCTCATCCAAAATAATGAAAAATAAAAGAAAAAGGAAAATTCCCTCCACTCGTATTTAATACTTTTTTAGACTCCTAATTAAATTAATCGTTAACTCATCACTTATAAATTAAAAAAAAAAAAAGGTTTCGATGAATTACACGCATCATCTTCAGATGTATCCGGCACTTTGGATCTATTCAAGTGTAATTTATGTAAAACCGGAAATTATGTGTTACTGGCGCATCATGTATTATGTTTGTTATTCATATAAAAAAAAAAAAAAATACACTCTTTTCACTACTCACTAGTACGATTTCTTTTAACCCTTCTGTTTGTGGGTTAACAATTAACAGAGTTCTAGCCTAGAACTCACACATGCACCTAGAATTTCTAGGTGTGGACAGGAGTACAGGGCACGGAAATGCAAGTCTTTACCAACTTTGGCTACGTCCCATATGAATCAGGCCCCACCAATTGAATGATCCGATGATGATGACGGTTGAGATAGACCTCTCTCTCTCTCTCTCTCCCAATTTCATTTCATTTCTTCCTGGATCTGTATTTGGAGTTTTCCTTTTATAAACTTAAAACGACCAACTGCTTACAACAATTAATTTAACAATTTAAATCACATATACACTTTATTTCATGTATCTGATCATACATGAGTACTCTAAAAGAAGAAGATGATGAAAACAAGCTTGAAGCAAAACAGTTGGGAAGATGAGGAACATTGATTTGACCTTTACTCATATCCTAGCTAGCAAATGAATCTTTTTGCTAATTAAGGTAAACAACATTTACTAGTTACCACCACCAACTTTCTTTTCCTATTTTTCAATTCTTTAATTGGCAGTTAGAGTCAAGCAAGGGTGCATTTTAGATTTTACATCTCAAACCAGCCAGAACCAGCAGGAGAACTGAAATGATAAAAATTGATGAACGAGAATCTGAAAAACTTCTAATTAAGCAGTACCTTGACCAGATCCATGGCCAACCAATGACAACAAACCATTCTTCATCCTCATGATCACCATATTGAGGAACAACCTCGGAGTCCGCCGGCAGACTGACGATGAACACTAAAGCAGGGAGATGAGGTTGAGGTAGGAGAGACGGAACCACCTTCTTCCTCGTAATCTCCCCTGGAATCAAACGACGATCTGGGACTTGCAAAACGTCTACGTCTCTGATCGAAATTTGAAGGAATCGTCGGAGTGGAGGACGAAGACAATGATGATGAGTATGAGGAGGAGGAGGACAAAGAAGATGAGGATAGCGCTGATGGGGATACATGGGTGGTTTTCTTGGAAGATAGCCTGGGAAATATAAAGTGAAGAAGGTTGGATTTTGAAGGGTTTTTGGTGGGTCTTTTCTTGGGACTGAAATGGTAGGAAGGAGGAGGTGTGAGAGGAGGGAGAGATGTGTCGCTGAATGTATGCTTAGGCGTACCTGGTTGAGATTCCCACATGAATGGCACTTCACCCTTTGCTCCTCCATAGTAGACTCTGAATGATGAGTTTGTCATGGAATTCTCTTTGGATAGAAGCCTTGTGAAGAACTTGTTGTCTTGCTTGATTTGGAGGGACTTCTGGGGAAGATCAGGACTACTAGAGGGCATCTTGGCCTTAAGCCTTAAGGGCACTACTGATCTATCTATCTTTCGATATCGATCTTCGATCCTCAAAATTTTTTAATTTCTTTTGGCTCTGAGGTAGATGTAGATCTCACTGGCTATGGCTAGCTAGCTATATGAAGAAGACCTTTAGCAAAGTGGAGGGACGAATTTTGCCCAGTCTTCTCCGTTTTATTGTTGTTGATATATAATTTAATAAGGTCCCTACACACCATACACACACATATATAAAATGATTTTCATACATATAAAATGATTTTCATAGCTCATTCAATATTATTATTGACCTTGAGGATATTTGTCATCAATATGTTATTACGTCAAGTTTTAATGTTAATTGAGCTTAATAGAATGATATTTACGTGTTGTTTAATTTGGTGACTTCACGTACGTGATTATATATCTATCTTAAGTATATATAATCTAATGATCGATCGATGGTGCAAAATTAAATCACCAATATGATGAATCATAGCCGTTGGTTTAGACTTCAGACGACAGACACTGATCTCAACAGAAAGAAATTGGTTGAGAGTTTGAGACGTGGGGTGGTAGGATAATAAATGGAGGAAAAGAAGCTACGGAAAGCTTGGGCGTGGTCCATGAAATCACATTGGAAAGTTGTCTTTATTACCGTGGTGAGGGCTGAGGGGTGGTGCTACTGCCTAGGTCACACTTGAAAATCAGCCACTATAGCTCTTTACTCTTTAGATTTGGTGGCTTGCCAATGTTTGACATCTCATCACAATCAAAGGCCACAACCACAAGTATTAATTATTAGAACTGCACCAGACGCAAAACCAGAAAGCTCACTGGTTTATGGTTGACACTGAAGTTTAATACAACACTAGAGGTTTAATTAAGACCCCTTTAGGATATGTTTAGCTTGACATAAAATTGAGGAAAAACCCTCAACAGATTTTGTAAAATCTTGTACTTTGTATTAATTTTGTATATATTTACATTTATATATATATATATATATATTAATTTGTACTATACGTATCTATATTTATATATTTTCAAACTGAGCATTAAAAAAGTAGAAAATTTCCAGACTTGCTGTTTCTCTCTTATTTTCTAGGAAACCAAACAGACAGCATTGAAGAAAAAATCCAAAGAAAATGTAGCCCTGTGGGACTTGAACTCAATACACAGTTGCATGATTGATAAATGAACAGCAAGTACAGAAATTATGGCATAGCGCTTTGAAAGGCTTGAAAGCCCCCTCTTGGAACAGGTGGGTCTGTCATGGTACAAGGGTTGCACACGCTTAACAAATGCATCCAGGCCCCAATAATGGATCGGAACCCCACATACCAGCTTGATGGGGTATCATATCATCTTAAAAATAAAAAAACATCAAATAATAATCATCACCTAACAATCTACAGCTTCATAATGTACGCCATTAAAATTTAAAATGACAAGCAAGATCCATACTCCTAGACACTTAGTGTTAATAAGGAATAAGGAAGAACACAGCAACATCTGCCTTGCCTCGGAAATTTTAATGGTCTTATCCTTCGCATGTTGTTTTTGGCCGGTGCCTAGAGGAGATAAAAAATTCCTAAAACGAGTGGTGTTAGCTGCTAGCTAGGCTGGTCCCTACTACGACCCTAACCCTAAGACTAATAAGACTAAGACGATCAATCGGCGGGACCGGCCAAGACAAGAGGAACCCAATTAATTAGACGTTCTTGGCAATAATAGAGATATTTATTTAAGTGTCCAATTGTTTTTGCAGTCGGAATTAGAATCAGAAATAGAATCATCTATATAATCCCTTGCCAATTTGGTTCATAACAGAAATCCAGAATTGGATTTTTATAAAATTTGCATATTTATGAGGGAGAATTGGTATGTATGAAAATAAATTGGATTTAGGGGGTTTTAAGACACTTGTCCTTCTTCTTACAATTGGAAGGAGATTCTTATTTCCTTGTTTAGTACTTTGAATAGAGATTCGAATTCTCAAAGGGAAAAAGGTCAGAATTGAATGGCCATTCCCTCAAATAAGAAAATCTCATTTCCCAATAATAGAAATCAGGATCTCATTCTGTCCAACCAAACAGTTAGAATCAAAATGAACCCCTATTCCCCACAAACCAAATGAACCCTAAGACATGGCTTTTTTGTAATGTGTATTCAAAGACAAATCTGTATGCTTATCAGTCTAATAGAACAATTCCATAATTAAGGGTAATATTTGAAAAGGTTAGACTATACAGAGAAGTGTGGATACACACAATGTAGAATTCTGAATTCTAGCCCCCTTATTACTAGCCCTCTCTCCCCCTATAAATCACATCCTGCCCGTGAATTTAGCATCAATTCACGGTCAAGTCAGGATGCATTCTCCCTGTACTTTGGGGTTATAAAATTCTGATTTGGGCTGATTGGTCATTCTCCCTAGACTATAATGTTAGAAAGACATGATACCAGAAGAAGTTATATATAATATAAGTTTTCATCAAAATTCACAAGGATTATGATTTGTCAAAGCCTTCCAGGTATCATAGATTTTCCCTTGATTAAAAGAAAAAAAGAAAACTGGGACGCCTAAATTTGCATTCCCTTAATCCAAAAAACAACTTTTGTTCATTTTACATACAAACAAACGCACCCGGAAAAGAAAAGAAAAGAAACTAGAAGGGGAAGAATTAAAAAAAAAAAAAGTTTTCAATAACTTGAATTGATGCAATTGTGGCAAACGACGTGGCAGTTGATCATGTAACCAATGATCTTCTCGTCAAAATCGGTTGAATGAGTGGGGTCAAAAATGAAAGTAACTACTCAACAACATCCAGGACCAACTTGTTGCTTCAACCATTATTAGAATTAATAGATACTTTCATGAACCGATCATTATTTTATTGGGTGCTGGTTCGGGCACGTCCATACCTGAATTCTGAATTCTCATACATGTGGGCGCATTGACCCTTCTTTGATGCCACTTGTCTGTTTATAATGACAAAATAATACACAAGGGTACGATTATCTCGATGCATTGGTACTTCGGAGGACTGTCCAGACCGGAAACCGGCCAGTCAATTGGTTCCATTCTACTTTTCAATTGTTCTTTTGCTAAAAACTGTTGATTTGGTCAGTTATCTATTGATCTATGTGATTAATTCATTTGATTCGAACAACGGTTTTAATCATTTTTTTACTTTTTACTTTTTTTTAAATTGCAACAGATTAATCCATTTGGATCAAACAGTCAAACCACTGACGTAAAAATCGGTGGCCTAAGTGATTTTTAAAACATTGGTTTGACTTACGATCTACCACCAGCAAAAAGCATCTTATACGCTGATAAATACTGATAGAGCATATCAATCCAGTGCTGAATTAAGAACATCTCTCATGAACAAATGATATACAAGTATGAGAGATGTTGCCAATATACAACTCAAATGTCTTATTGTAAGAGTGGATAGAATTGTGGGTTGGAGATTAGCGCTATTTCGCTAGTCCTCTTTGCTCCTCTCCTCTCTCAGAGAAGAAAATATGACAAGTCTAGAGGTTTGGAGTTTGGTTCAAGCCGTACTTTATAATATAAATAGGGTAAAAGTGGAGTCCGAATGTGTTGAGCAGAGACCCATGAAAGACGTGGGGATCTGCTTGAATCACGTGCACAGTATCGGTTCCTTTTTTCTTGTGACTTCCTTTCCTTTCTTTTCCCTTGCCTTCCTTTCTTTCAAGTCAAATACAGCTTCATTGCTTAGATGGATAGATTATTATCAGTGATTTGATCATCATAATTAAAAGAGCAACGATCCAAACAGGGTGTAATATATATTTTTTATTTAGGTTATGTTTGGTTTGAAGGAAAAGACAGGGAAAGGTATTTTAGGGGATCAAAGTCACAGATCCTCAAGAGCGAATTTAGTTAAACTTAATAGTTGTTTTATGGACTGTGGGGCCATTTATTTTCTTCATAAATGCAAGTGAAAGATTAAGTGGTTGTAGATCATACGCATATGCAATAATGGTGCGGACCAAATTCAACTAATCATTTCTACAAATGGTGATGATTTCCTATTTGAAGGAATCGAATCATTCCATTTATGTAGCATTTGAATCCACCCATTCGTTATCTTGAATGGATTGATAAATAACTGAAATAACCTCATTTTCTTCAGAATCCCAATTGATTAGGGATGCAATTTGGGCGTATCCAATCTAGAATTTTACATGGGTTGGGCTTAGATTTTCGGTTTTTGGGCTGGGTTCAGGCCCAAAAAGTCAGGTTTTTTTATTTTTCAAGTCGGGCCTGAGTCTGGCCCATGCTCAACCCAATTATATACATTATACATATATATGTGTATATATGTAAATGTTGCATACACATTTACATATATGTACATACATACTTGTATATATAACATTTGTATAAATATTTTGTATACATATTTACATACATACATAAATATATATATATATATATATATATATATTTGCATAAATATATTTGTATAGTTTTAGAATGGGCTTATTGACCAACCCGAGCCCATCCCGGGCCCAAGTCTAACCCAAGTGCATCAAATTACAAGGCGGGTTGGGCTCGGGTTGGGAAAATCGGGCTTGACCTCGGGCTTGGGTCGTGCTTGGGCCTTAAGCCCAAATTTTAGGGCCGAGCGTGGATTGACCATAACCTAGCCCAACCTGCCCAACTTGCACCCCTACAATTGATACTTGCTCTCTCCCCTCTCCCCTTGCAATATGCTTAATTAGGACTGATGAAGGGTTTTTTGGTAGCACCTTGTTGTTCGGACTACTTCTAGGTGGTCGATGACTCAAGGCCAAAGTGAAGGATTTTTGTTGGATGAGGACTTGGATGTCGAGCTGACTAGGTTGAGCTGGGGGTAGATTGGGTGCCGAGCTAGGTTGATTGCTGAGCTCTTTAGAAAAACCTGTAAGGAATCAATGTTAGAAGACTTGGGGTGGCTAACCCGGCAAGGTCACTCCGATGATTAAGTTATTACTCTCATAGTAGATCGCGAGTTGAAAAATCATAAAGTATGAGAGCTAAAATGTGCTTACTCGTCTCTCTCTTGTGTCATTGGGATTGGTGTCTTTATATAGGCATTGTTTGGTTTGGGCCTCACGCACTGCATCCAAGATTTCCGAGAGGTCGTGCTTA